TATATACATAAAAATATATAAATATAAAAAGGTCGATACATTATTATACAAAGTCCCTCACAGAGTGGTAGAAATAGCACGTCCCTGCCCAGCACGCCCACAGTCCCCGTCCCCTGTTGTTCCTCGCTGCCTTGTGTTAGGCTGCTGCTGCGCCGGGGCAGGCAGGAGAGGGGTGGTAACTGGTGAAATGCCAGGGAATCCCACGATGTCCGTAGGGACCCAGAGGAATAACGTAGCCCTTGGTTATGGCAACTCAAGCAACTCTGCAAGGTGCAGTCATTTCTTCTCCCTAAGGAAGAGCTGTGCCAGCGGTCAGCTCGAGCCATGGGACTCCTCTGAAACCCCGCTAGCAGGCTGGACTCCTGAGGTGCAGCACTGGGACGTGGCTGTGGTTGGTAAGCGTCCCTCCTGCTCCCAGGTCAACAGTCCTCAGCTCCTCAGGGCAGCTGGCGATAGTATCTCATGGACTTCCATGTTTCAGTAGTGGGTCTTCAACTATTCATCCCTCCCCTGGGCCACTATGGACCTCCTCTGCTCACAGCAAGCTGTTCTTTAAGACTTTAACTTATTATTATTTAACCAAGGCTGTCTTTGTGAAGATATAGGAAAACTCCTTCCTAGCTGTTTCTCTTACTTTCCCTTCCCATATTTCCCAGCTCCGTGGTTTCTCAGTGTCTTGCTGGGAAAAGCTTATGTTTTCCAGGCAGTGCTACTTGTTCATTGGAAAACTTCAAGCTTGCACATCCCGTGTTCATGCACCATCCACTGTACTGCAGTCTCACTGTCTTATGCCTGGTGAAGATTTAATTGTTTACACAAAGGATTGAACCTGTCTCCCGTACTCCACGCAAGTCTTGGGAGCTAATCAAACCTTTGTCCAAAGGTCTCCTTCTCTTGTGCCAAATAATCAAAATCCTCTTTCCTTGCCTTGCCAACAGGGTATGTCCAAGCATGTCGAGCACTGATGATCGCCGCCTCCGTCTTGGGTCTTCCCGCTATCTTCTTGCTGATAACGGTCTTGCCCTGCATCCGGATGGGCCACGAGCCTGGAGCTGCCAAGTACCGGCGGTCCCAGTTGGGAGGGATCCTCATCATCCTCCTGGGTAAGGCGCCCGCCGGCCCTGCGTGTGTGCGGAGCTGGAGGTCTTCTTCTGCTCCAGGACTGGTTGAGCGTGTTTACCTGAAAGCACGGTTGTCCAGGCTGGGCTGACCCTGAAGCTCTCCAGCATCGCTGCAATCTGTGGGGCGAACAAAAGGCACGAACAGGAGTGGGAGGGCAAAGACAAGAGGCAGGGAGCGAAGCAGAGAGAAGAGGGGAGGGCTGCGAAACCCCACTGTGCGTTATCTTGCGGAGTCCCCGGGCACGGCCACCGCCTGTGCCTGCGGGAGGGCGACAGCCGTCACACACAGGCAGCTGCCTGCGGGCACTGGTTTTGCTGGTTTGCTGTGGAAGCGATGCTGTTTTTGGAAAAGGGTCTAAACTCCCAAGCTGCTTACAGGGAAAGGATAGCTTCCGAATTTTCCCTGGGCGTCGCAGATGCAGCCGGGTCAAAGTAAGCTGAGGCGTGTGGGAAGGGATGCTGGGGGGATGCTGGTCCTGTGGGGACAGCAGGGGAGGGAGCAAGGAGGTGGCATGGACCTGGGAAGAGGGATGGCATGTCCCCCTGTGCCTCCCAACCCCCTCTGGCCAGCCTTGCCCTTGACCTCCAAGTTCCCCTGGGAATTTCTCCCTGTCCTCAGTGCCTGCAGAGGAGATTGTTTTGAGCAGCGCAGACTGTGGAGCTCATTGTCCCCAATGCAACACCTGCATGTTCTTGAAGCCTCGTCATCTCAGCAACAGGCTGCGGTGCCTTGTTTTTACCCGTCTGTGCGGCAGAGGAGGAGGGGTGAGGGAAAGTGGCCTCTTTGTGTGGCTCTGCTGGTCGCTGGCAGCCTGCGCTGACATCATGCCCGTCTTCTTTCTTCTTCTTCTCCTTATTTTTTTTCAAGTGGGCACTGGATATAGCTGCATGCTCGGAGGGGCTGTCCTCTGGATGCTCCTTCCTTGCAAGCGGTCTCTCCTCCGGTGCCTTGGTGAGAAGCAGATAGTACAAGTCGGTACATCTGAAATCTAAGGGACTGAGACCAAGGGGGCCTTTCAATGTCTGTGGGGTTTAAGGGCATATTGCCACAGCTGGAGGTCCAAAAATCAGCTTTATAAGGCCTGTTTAGGACATCCCGATCATGAACAGCCATGTTAGAGAGCTGTCAGAATGTGGCCTTCATCCCTGTCCCGAAACCTTGAGTCATGTATTTGGGCTTGGCAAAGTGAAAGAAAAAGTTTGTTTTCGGCCTGTGAATGACATTTTAGTGCCGGAGGAGTCTGCTCTGCTGGATTTCCCCTGCCCAGGATGGGGGAGGCCTAGCAGAGCTGCACTTTGCGGCAAACGCGATTTTTCGGTTCCAGTCAAGGAGAACCGTGCTGCGGATCAGCCCCGTTTGCATGGCTGCAGACGTGGAGGCGAGAGTATTGCCCTGAAATCTCCTTTGCCGAAGGGCAACAGAATTACAGGACCGGCAAACAAATTGCAGTGGCAGTACTGGGTAACGCTGCGTTAGAACAAGTGAAATCCCATCTCGTGCAGTGTTGCACCAGGGGTTTGGGGTCTAGTGTGCCACTCTCCTACCCTGGTCTTGCTGTGGTGTAACACCAGGGAGGAGAATAGAGGTAAGAGGATGGAGAAGAAGGGTTGAGGTGCTCCATGAGCCTCAGAACATGATTTTCCCACTAAGTAGATGCTGTGAGGAAAGGAAATGTGTATTTACACAGACATGGGCAGACAAATGTTCTTTGGGTCAGATTTGGACTTCTTATTGATTTTTACCCCTGGGAGTTTTGAAGCATCTGCAGGTGAAGCGGTTTGCTCATGTCACTGATGTCCTGAATGATCTGGGCTGGGAACAGCAGCCTGGTCACAATGTTTTAGTCACAATTACAATAATGCTCTTTTTGTCAGATCACAAATGAAGAAAAAATAAGCTCCTTTTGCTCTTAAATTAAAAAAACAAAAACAAAACCAAAAACCAAACCAAGCCACACACAAACCCCAAACTCTTGCAGGCTGACCAGCAAGACAGTCCCTTTGGAAGAAGAATAATGTACAGAGCTTGGGACTTTGACATTATTTAAGCTGATTAATGATCTGTTATTTGCAAAATGAGGTGTTACCATTCCAGAGCACTTAATAAGCATGAATCAGGCCTTGAAAGTCATAATACTGACTTAAAATTAATTATATTCTAGAAGTAATATGCCCTGGACTGTTCTTATTTACCCTCTGGCCGCTGAACTCTCATTCGTGGTTTTCCCCAACCGCATGGGTTCCAGCCTTTTCCTCTAAGTGGAGACCAACTCCCAGAGCTCTGGTTAAAAGAAAACAAACCCCAAAATGTTCACTAACATAGCAGAAGTAGAGAGTGGAGATGTGATCGGGGGAGCTGGCCCCATGGCAAACTTCACTTGTTGCTCGGGGTAGGGATGGCAGTTTGTCACTGCAATTTATTAAAAAGGAAAACAGAGGTTGAAACAGTGTGGGGGGAAAAAAAAAAAAAAACAAACAAAAAAAAGTTGAAAACTTGCCAGGAAAACAATGGGCTCAGATATTCCACTGATTTTTCTGTCCGCTGATAATAGCAGGCTGCAGAGTGCAACCTGTGTGCACACCCTCCTATCCTGCCTGCTGATGTATTTATGTCTTTGCTTGATCCTATCTGCCCGAGAGAATTGATTTATTGCCGAAAACAACCATCAGCAGAGGTTTGCTCTGAGCCAGTTTGAAAACATTTCATACGCTCGTGTTGATGGAAAAACCCTGGCCCATCCTGTGTTGTTGATACTAATTTGGGGGACCCCGTGCTGGTAACCAAGCGGGCATTTTCCTAATGGAGGTGAGGGAGTCGAGACACTGGAAAACACAGATGAAAAATATGTTAGTTATTGGCAATTACTACTGCAAAATGACCGTATTAGCTATTGTATACTAAATGAAGGATATTCATAAGTTTTTCTGGACACTGCATGAGATTTACTTGTAAAACCATAGACATCAAGATAAAAAGATTGCTTTGAACATAGAAAGAAAAATCATGGATATCTATTATTTCAACCAAACGCTTTGAAAGAGAAATCTGTGTGACTTTGTCAGCAGCTCAGAATGATTAAATTTAGCTGTGAAAGAGAAGTATTCTTTCTTCTTCAGGAAGCCTTTAACTTACTGTTAAGGAATTTGGCAGGGAGTCACCATCCCTCGAGTTAGAGTAATCCTGCTCTATCTCCCCCACCACCCCAAGCACCTTCTGTGCTTCTCGTCTATGTGTACTTCCATCTGATTAAAATATGCCTGTAATGTAGAATATTAAGAGTTTCAGCTCAACGGATTGAGCCACTGCAAGTTCATAGTCCAAAAGGACTTAGAAATGCTGGGATGTGTCCCTGTGGATTCACAGTGATCTGACGGAGCAAGGACAACCACACCACCTATTACTGAGATGACTTTTGCAGGTAGAGGCAGTGGCTTTTACAGGACTGCCTACTCTAGCTGCAAAAAGCAGGCAAGCTTTCCAGTTCGTGTGTGCCCCAAACATGCCTGTTTTTCCAGCTAACATAGTTGGTCTAATAGAAAATATTCCTTCTGTCTGCAGTCTTTCTTCTACTTTTCTGCTAGACTATATTGACTGCAGCAGCTCTGCTATCTGAAGACATTCGTATTTAGGGAGAGGCAAAGGGTCTCTCAGCATCAGCTCGAAAGAAAAGGGATAATAATTTCTATTCAAAGAGTTTGTCCTTGTAGGCAGCTATTTTAGTACTTGAAACTTGCCCTAAAATGTCTTTTCCAGTCCCTTTGGGTTTCTTGGCAAATCAACTTTTTTTCAGTCTTTCTCTGTGATACAGCTAGACCAAAATTTGAGTTCACCAAGAAATACTGCAATTGCAGACTGTCCTTTTCGCATCTTCTCGGAGGATTTACAACCCAATTTAATCTATGTGGAGAGATGAAATCCAGTCCTGTTTCAGGGCGTTCCCCTTGCTGAGCAACGGGGTCACTGGTGACTGATGGCAGCTGGTAGCCTCCGAAGACAGAGAGGTCAAACCAACCCACGCAAATTCCTCGGCTTGTGTTTCACAGCTTTCTAGTATTGTCAGCATTAAAATAAGGTGGTTTTACATGTAGTTGAGCCACATGCACAAGAGGTGCCATTGTATTAGCATCCCTGAGAGCTCTTCTCACCCCAGTGCAAGTGTTTTCTTCGGTCCTGTGTTGTGGGGGAGGGTTGGGATAGATAAGGCTCTTATAGTCTATGCACATAAATATATATATAT